ATGAGTTAAAAAAATCGCCGAAACAAGAAGTTAAATCAGGTTGGTTTGTAGGTAGGTGCTATTTTAATTACAGTTGATAAGGTTTCGTAATTCGCTTAAAAATGTTTTGCGTAAGGAAAGTGACAACAAATATCATGGACCGAAATAAAATTATCACATATACTTACTTTAAAATTGTGAGTTTTATAGTTCATAGATATTTTGAAAAGTAAGTAATTAACTTTTGGAGAGATCTGAAAAATTTATAACCGTAGGGTTTATGTCGATAATGAGAGCGTAAAATTTGTATATAATAAATTTGAAAACGAGAAGGCGAGATGCTCACATTGTCTTAATGAGATGGTCAGAGGTAGAAATAAAACGCATAAGCGTTTATAAAAGTCGCGAGCATCCAATTTACACCGAAACTTATTTAGACCGTAACGTTAGACACCAAAGAATTGTTTTAGCGACCGCGCTGCTCATACCACACTGTGTATACCATAAATAAAAACAAATAGTAACTGATACTAGAATTAATAAATGCAAACATTAAAAAACAAGCAAAAGTAACAATAAAAAAGAACAAACAATGCGTATTGCCATTTGATATCCATGTCCCCTTTCCAGCTTTATTTTGCCTATACAATTCTATTTCTAAATTATTCGCAGTCACGTCTAGCCTAAACTTTCTTCATACAAAAGTTTGCTAGATAAACCTATTGAAATCTCCTATTCCCCTTTATGCAAGCTTTGTCTAATTTTCTAATTTACGATTGAAGAAGATTGTTGATTAATCTCCGATTAAATTTGTTGATAAATAGTTAGTTTCTGTTTAACAATTACTTAGCAGTTAAGTCGCAATGCGGAAAATGGACGTGAACAAGTTTCCTTCGGTGCCAGTTGACAGCCGTCGCCGTCGCCTGATCTCGCTTGTTAGTAACGAGCACCGCCTGGCCCACTTATAAAGTTTCTCCTTTTAAAGAGGAAATAATTACATTCTTATGAATTTATCCCGGTTTTTCTACACGTGCTATAATAATCATCAAATAGAGGATACAAATATGACGAAGGACTCCACTACTATAAATTTTGAGATAACTTAGTTAAAAGTTAAGTAAGTGACTTGTACCAGGAAATATTGTGTTATATTTTCTTAAAATCTACTTACTAGTTGGGAACACAAGGAAACTATCATATGAATGTGTTCGTAATAGGGAACTTAGAAGCTCTTTGGTTTCCAGTTATCATAATTATTATTGATAATAATCGACAGTAATTTTTTTTGTCATTCTCATTCTGTATCGTTCACAGGAATATTCTCGTCGATATACAAATGGCTATGGGGTCGATCTTCGTGGTTTGGTGGAGTATGGCTAGACGATGCGCAACCGAAACATTCCTCTACTACAACCACAACTCCTGTCCCCCTAACAACTTCCACTGACAACTGGTTCCAAGCCATGTTACATTCAGAAGAAAACGATGACTCGCTACCTAGTCAATCTGGTAAGAATTATACCGCATGCTTAAACTTGTAGACAATGAAAGTGAAATTAAGATATTATCTCAACATACTCTGCTATTTCACTACATTTTTTGCAAGCTACATTTCTTTTTACGATTATTTTCTAGTGTACGTTTATACCAGTTTAACAAGCTGTGATTTATTTTAGTAAAAAATCCTCCAAAGAAATCTCTCAAAAAGAATTACAAAGGATTTCAACTACTTAGAGCCTATCCAGACGTGCAGTGGAAAGTTCAGGAGTTGTTGGACTTACAAGAAGAGGGCCAAGGCTCCGGCTTAATGTGGTGGACATCACCGTCGCTAAATAGTTCAACAGATCTCTTAGTTCCGCCTGATCTCCTTCAAGATGTGAGAGCTCATTTGAAATCGAACAAAATAGAATTTGATGTTATACTGTATGATTTACAGGTAAGATATGTACCGGCGATTTTATTTCTTCAAAAATTAAAAAAAATGTGAAGAAAGACAACCTGCTCATAAACGGCCCGTAATAAATTATTAAAAACTAGTGATGTGCCGGGAGCGTGTAAAACATAAATTATTTCTGCATTAATATTTCGTCTTGTATTTTTCCACTTGTTAATTACATTTTTCCTACTATTTAGAAAGCAATATCTTACGAGAACCCAAAGCTTTCTAAAAAGCAAAGAATCGAGCTGGAGCAACTGCGCGGCCACCCGATGACTTGGCGGCGCTACCACCGCTATGCGGATATCCTTCGCTATTTGGAATACTTACAGCATTCTAACTCTGAAATTGTAGAGCTAGTGCCATTAGGACGATCGTCAGAGGGCCTACCATTGGTTGCAGTCAAGGTAATTTTTCAACAGACTTTTTAGAATTAAAAATATTTTTTTTAACATTACGAAAAGTTCATTTTAACGTTTGAAGGTTTCTCTGCCATCAAATGAAACGCAAGCCAAAGAATTAGGAGGAAAAAGTCAAAAGCGATGGCGACTGAAGTCTTACATGAAGCCAGCTGTTTGGTTGGACGGCGGAGCTCATGCCCGCGAGTGGGTAGCGCCTGCGGTAGCTACCTGGATGCTGCACGCTTTAGTAGAAGGCGAAAAAGGTTTAGGTTAGTACAAATACAAAAACTACGTAATTACTTCAATCTTTACTTGTTAGATCTTTCAACAACTTTAAGCTTCTAGGAGAGGTCTGTGAAATAATTGTATTTCTTTTAAGTATTTAATCACTTTGACTTGAGATCTATATTAATATGTAAAAATCATATAGGATTTTTGTGATTGTAGATAATTATTCGCTTAGCTAGAGAGTGCATCCTGCCTGCTACAAAAAACAAGTTTTTCTGCCATTTACCTGGACTTTGCCTTGTTGCGTTGTAGATCCTTGTTTGAAATTCCGATCTTTATAAACCAAGCCAAAAAAAAAAAACAAACAAACCTGGCAGCGTTCAGTGGCGGCCGACTTGAAGGCAATCGGGCTGTCATTTTCCGAGACACAACGCAGAGCCCAGGACGCCCTGTGCCCCACTTTGGGGACATAGGAATAGAAGAGAGAGGGAGATAAACCAAGCAAGGGTTACTTACATTTTTTTCCTCCTCAGGTCCTGATTACGAATTGTTGAAAATGGCGGACTTTTACATTTTGCCAGTATTGAATCCTGATGGTTATGAACACTCACACACACACGACAGGCTCTGGATGAAGACACGCTCCCGGTTCACAGATCGTTCTGATGATTACTACGTAGGCTGGTAAGTTTTACATCACTTTTTTGAACAAAGCGTAAAGCCAAGTCATGCTAAGTGCTGCTTCTTACCACTGCTGATCTTTAAAAAGATAGATAAGCTCGGGTAGTCTAAATAAAGTTTTTTATCCAACTACATTGCTTGCTTAAGTAGTTTGCTTTTTTTAAAATTCATATCTATAAACGTTTGTACACCAACCCTTATTGCCGAAACTGGTTACTCTAAAGAAACTTCTAATAGGTAAAAAAGTGAAAAAAAGAGAGTGTATCCCTTTCCAATAAACATAAATTCGATGCGAATCGATGTTAGCCACAACTTTATATTATAAATTTATGTGGCCATAAAAGGAACAAGGAAAATATCATTCGCTTGCTGAAGGCAGAACTGGTTGCACCGGATACTAGTTATTTAAAATTAAAGACTTTTCTGAGGTAAACGAGAAAGCAATGTTTTGAAAATGTGTTCCACTTTCACTAAGAAAGGAAAACTTGGTAGCTTATGGGGTAAGGAAAGAATATTAATTTTTCCTAACCTTACGATAATTTTAAAAAGACAATGAAATTGTTTCTTTTTACATTTACTTAGTTATTTCTAATTTAGTAATGACAACAAATGATACGGTTTAGGTTTCCGTGGAACTGGGGCAGCACTGAATGTGTTGGAGTTGATACCGACCGCAACTGGGACTACCGCTGGGGCGAGATGGACTCGTCGAACGACCCCTGCGCGGATAACTATGCCGGGCCCCATCCGTTCAGCGAACCCGAGACCAGGGCTGTATCCGAGTTCCTCGCTGAACATAGAGGGCAAATAAAGGTAACTTTTTAATTAGCAACATATCTTTAGTTTCAAGTTTATGAGTGTGAGAGTGTGTGTCTCATCAAAGTTACCAAACAAAAGTACTACTTACTAAACTAGCGCGTACCATCCTTCGACCACATCTTCACCTTGGTCTAGGTGGGATAGTGGTCAAGCGCTGGTTTTTGCAATTTAAAAAAAAATAAAGTACCTATATCGAAACGGTTTTCCATAAGTTCGAGACCTTGAGGTGTATCTTTTACATCAACTTTTTGGTTCTTTTCTTCTCTATGATACAGACTAAAATGTTTTTTGTAAATACTATGTTCATAAGAAAATAAAAAAAAAACATTTATGATTAAAACTTTTTATACTTACACGAAGCAAAAACTATGACATCATCAAACTATGTCTCGTTTTTATAATAGCTTGATTAACTATGCAAAGTATACGAATATGTTACATGTAAATTGTAAACGCATAAATTATTTTAAAATACATAATCCAATGATAATACCAGGGTATTGTGTACTATTTATACTAATTTTACCCTCATTACCTAGTTATGCGATTAAAACGATATACATATACGTTTGCAAAACAATCGAAGTTGACTGCAGTTTTTTAATTGTGTCAAGCCATTTGCAAAGTCATTCAATTAAATGCAAACTTTTTTATCAGATGCCAAATATATGATCAAATTGACTCTTCGCTATTGAGTATTTTTAACACGTTTTATTAGTTTGACCTGTATGTCTATATTTACATTATCCAAGCCTTTTAACTATCGATGTAACGGAAATTTTAGAGATTAACTGAACCTCGCTTATATTAAGATGTTGAATTAAAAAATTCGCACATTTGTTGTTGTTCTTTTTAAATATGACGGAAAGTAACTTTACATTTTACGTGAACAAATACTGGAAAACGCTTCTATTTAGTAGTAATGAAAAATGTTTTTTCTTATTGTTTTCGAGTAGACCGTAACTAAATAAAATGTCACAAAATATTAAGTTGCCAGTATTATTAAGGAGACTTTCGAAAATCATATTATATTTTCACATTTTACCGACTGTAAATGTCCCACACTTTATTCTTACAGTACATTACCCTGATGAGATTTTGCGGTCGATGTCTGGCTTAACAGACACGTCATATTTGACAGCTACAATCGCATGAACATTGTCATGTAAATTGCGTTATGGTTATCACAACAATCGACTCCACCACAACATAAAGTTCCCTTCGTTTACGCCGACATAACAATTGCAATTCTCATTTCACCTGCGCTTGATAGTTTCCAAAGCTGAGTATTGGAAAACGAAGTATTCAGTCATCAGACTAATTACTACATTAATTAAGTTGTCACTATTATTGTTAAAACATTTCTCTTTTAATTATAAATATTCTGGTTTTTCATGTTAATATTCTCCTCTTCCGATCGATTGTCGTTTTCTTTTGTTATTAATTATCTTATTTATAAAAGCTTCTCTAAGATCCTAACAATCTTTTACACCGCCCGCGGAAGGGTTATTGTAATTAAGTAAAATTGTCAAAAAGATTAAATTACAACTGTGTAAAGTAATTTGTTATCTGTTTAGGTGTATTTATCTTTTCACGCCTATTCTCAAACGTGGTTAACACCGAGTACCGAGGCGCTAGCATCTTATGGTGACGACGGAATCATGTTGGAAATGGGAAAACTTGCTACAGCCGCACTTGCTGATATGTATGGGTCTAAATACAAGGTTAGTTACGCCTGCGTTTGACCTAACGATACGGTAAAAAAATTTTCTTAACATCTCGTAATTGTCTGCAGGTTGGAACAGCTGCGGAGCTTCGTCAGCCGGCGTCTGGCATGTCACATGATTGGGCCAAGTCTCGTGCGGGCATCAAATTTTCCTATCACGTTGATTTGCGCGACTCTATCGGACGTCACGGCTTTTTGCTGCCCGGCTCGCAAATTGTACCCACGGCGCGCGAAACCTGGCAAGCGGTCAAAGCGATTGTCGATAATTTAACGCCCGGATAAAAAAAAGTTGTCGGTTACTAGATGTCTGACACACTTATCGAGTTGTAGAAACTTAGTGTCAGTTATTGAAAAAGAAAGAAGATTATTGACTGATCTAAAATGATCTACTATTAATTAAAAAACTAGTTCGAAACTTTCCAAATTAATGACTATAAGACTTGACACAAAAATACTATTAGGTAATAAGGGATAAATTTTTGTAGGTTTTAAAAACGATTTGGTATGCTGTAGTAGTTTTTATGTGAGGGTAATTAGCCTTCAAATGACTAAATTGGTGGGAATATCTCGGACGGAAATTGTACTGCGAATTTGCTCAAAAATGCATTTAAAATGTAATTATAAGACATGATACCTTAAAGGTGACTGTTAGGAATAAGCTATTTTTAATTGTACTAATGTTTTATAAATTTTAATAATAGAAAATAATAAAAGAATAATTCTGATTAAAAAATTGTTTAATTTTGCTTTATGTTAATGAGTTTCCCATTTTTATCTATGTCTGCTTAACACGATCTCTATTATTAATTACTAAGTTATCTAGATAGGGCGCGGTTGGGCGACCGCCCAGGGCGCTGGACAGAATGGGGCGCCACTGGTCTGCGAGTTACAGCCTCGCGTATCCATGTTTACATCCCTTCCCCTAAAAAGTGCTAAAAAGATTTAGAAATTTAGAAGTTCCGCCCTGGGCGCTAGTCATACTAAAAATAATACTGGCTGGGTCATTAAAGAAGAATAGATGAATAGCCTAACAAAATATTATTGAAGGAATGCAATTTATTTGAAATTCTATAGAAACATGGACTTTTTGTTATAGATAGTGTAGTAAGGTGCTAAAACTGAATAGAATTACAGTGGTATAAAATACGAGGGAGTAGAAAGTGCGTACATTTTACATGTGTAATATAGGTAAGTGCGTAACGTTGTGGTTTATGAACCGTTATGTTCTTATTATCAAGGTAAGCCGCTTTATATTTTATCACTTTTATAAGAAATGTGATATTTTACGTCTGTAAATTACTTAGGTGGGATTAGTCTCGTTACGAAAATGTTAATATTTTTCGACTTTTAATGAAACTTTCGGTAGCGCATCCGTAGACTCTTACAAAAAGGCTTAGGTGAGCAGCTACAGAGTAAGAGTACAGATAATATGATTCTATAGGGTCGGTTGTTAAACAGTGTACCTAACAGAAACATTAAACCAGCACCATTTTGAAAAAAAAACGCGAGGTTGCAAATTTCTGATAGTTTACAGCGGACGAGTCTTGTTTTAATTTCAAAATGATTAACTCTGAAATAAATCGCATATCATTTTGGTATACTTATATGACATTGTGACTAGCAATATACCGTTACCATCATATTGTGCGTCGGCTTAAGATAGCATCGACAGTCTTAAGCATTTTCTAAGTTTGTATTATTATAATGTGTGCAACTGTCCAAGTCCAACCAAGTCCGAACGTGATAATCGAGGTTGAGCATTTTACGGTCAACTTTTTGGCTGACCGCTTAAGTGGCAACTAAGTACCAGTGCTTATGAATACGAATATCTAAATAATCATAACAGTATTAGATGTAAATATATTTATAACCTAATATTTCATATAGCAACTACTGATGGGAATAACGTTAATTTAGGAGCTATCAGAATTTATTGTATTTTGTTTTCAGTAAGTAAGGGCTATTTAAAATTCAAAAGATGTCTTATTAAGATAACTATGTAAATTACTTTCGCTGCTGTCTGGTTTTAACTGCAGACAATACAAAACTTTCTCTATCATATAAACAATTTAACAAAGAAATGATAGTGACACATAACATCGGTGAAAAAAGGATGTGGAATTTAGAAGTAAAATTCTCATTCTATTACAAGTTAAAAAAGATAACATTGTTAAAATACTTTTGTTTGTAATAACAGACCAGAACTCAATTTAATATCAATTAATATGATATTCTCTATTTGTCCTGAATTACAAGTTAAATAAGAGATATCAAAAAATGACTTCTCTCAACGCAGTTGCCCTCTACCAACTAACGCTGCACTAGTCGTTATTAACCAAAAAGTATCTCATGTACACGTGTTAAATGTGCATTATCGTGTACAGCCCTACATATTCGGCATGCCTCATAAAATTTTTCGCATCACGGAAATGTTTTCCCACGTAGTCGTGTCTCACACAACACATTTCACGTAATTATTTACCCCAACTTAGAATTATGCATCAGCCTCATCTGCGTTTAAAACACGTTTAGTGGTTAGTAGTTCTTGTGTTATGTTTTTAATCCCATCTGGGGAAAGGAAATTTGTGAAACTAGATCGCATTACTAATTGCATAACTTTCTTCTCGAGGATTATACAATTTACAATTTGGTACTTTACTAAAGTTACTATCTGAATACATACTAATCTCAAGAACTTTTGCTCTGTTAAAATTATAAGTATACACTCAGTACTAGGGATGAAACCTCTCTGGGTGTACATAACCGGAGGTAAGGATGTAAATTTCACAAGGATCTGACTTGGCAGTGTCAGCAAAAACCCCAGCTAACACCTGGCAAAGACTACATTCCTGATTATTTAAGTCGTCCGATAAGGGTTGAGTTGTAACACTCGTCTTTCCCCCAGAAGGCAGCGTGTTTTGAACTTTTCCTCTCCCTCCCCCTGATACCAAAAACGGGGTAGAGTTGTACAAAGTCAAGAATTTTATATTTTCCATGTATGTATGTTATAGATTATGGTGGGCAACCTGTGGTTGGTTCTATTATCGATACGAACACATTCTTCGGAAAGCCTCACATGTTTCCGCATGACGTATGTTGTAATCTTACTTCTTACTAATATTATAAATGCGAAAGTTTAGATGGATGGATAGATGGATGGATAGATGGATAGATGGATGGATGTTTGTTAGCGTTTATAGTCTAAACGGCTGAACGGATCTCCGTGAAATTTGGCACAGGTTTAGAGCATAGACTGAAAGAACACATAGGCTACCTTTTATCCCTGGAATAGTTACGGTTCCCGTGGGATTAATTAATTTAGTTTTTTAATATTTACTCGATCATTCTGCAACGGTTCAACATATCTTATTGAAATTTGGCACAGATATAAAACAAAGTCTGGAGTACACATGGGATAAGCTTCATCTCCGAGAAATGTCCGGTTCCCGAGAGATACGTAGCTTTTTGTAATTTATATAGTTTGTATGTTTTATAATACCATGCGTACGAAGTCGCGGGCAACAGCTCGTGTTTAAATAAGGCTCTCGTCGTTTACTCCGGTCTACGTGAATTTAAATAAAAGTTCGAGTTAAACTTAAATATTTTGAAACGTTGATATACTATATATTGTAAAATAACGAAAACATCATAAACATCTATCTTTAACTGATACGAACAGTACATTTTCTCTAATTACAATGTTTTATAAGCTAAAATATGAAAGTTAATTACTCACTTTACGAAAGTATGAGTAATCTTTGCTAATTGAGGCGTCTACCGATTGCTTTAAACTACATTTACAGATATAATATTGTCTATAATTACATACATTTACATAGTAAAAGAATACAGGATACATGAATGAGCGTTTTAATGAAATATAAATGTTAAAAAACTAGTAAAATACACATCATTCATCCATAAACTCTTACAGTAGCAAAAAATGTTAATCAATGCAATAAAAGTTATAGAAAGTTCTTATATGAGTGAGGTATTATTCGTAGTTTTGATCCGAAACCAAAATTAGATAAACATGATTACATAGCATGCCGCCCGCTGTTACAATATTTGATTTTTCGGTGTTATTTTGTGAAATTTGTGAGTTTTGTGAGAGATGAGAAGAATATTTTGTCAAAAATATTTTTTTTCCAGTTTAACGTAAATACTTGGTGTAAAAATACCGGCATATATGAGATAATTGGCATATATACTTAATTTTAATTTCTCTTCTAATGATATTATTTATGTTTAAAATCTATAAAATAAAGAACATACTTTTTTGCATATCACAAACCACTGAAATCTCGTGCGATACTTTACTTTTGCGTATACCTCACAAAAAAACTTATGCTTTATTACCAATGTCACTTTGATAGATGTCACTGTCACTCAAATGAATTGATGTTTTAATTTTATTATTCTTATCAACAAACAAAAACAAAATATCAACTGAATTGCTGCAATAATTGTTGTCTTAATTTCTTATTAAAAAGCGTAACCCAGTGAAATCTTTATTATTTTAAACATGGATACCGATGAAGGCAAAGAAGTTGTTATAAATGACAAAATAAACCCAACAGAATTTGATGTAACAATGCATGCACTATTAGTAGGTTTAGACGCGGAAAAATACGTCGAAATATTCAGGTACAATTTATGTGATTTAAATTTAGTAAATGTAATTAAATTAAAAGTTAAATTAATTTGTGTTTTCTAGAAAAAACAACATCGGACAATGTACGCTCATGGAATTGACTGATGAAGACTTAACTAAGCTAGGGGTTGATGAACCAAGCGTCCGACAGAAACTTCTTGAGGAAGTAAAAAATTTACCTATCTATAATGAATGCGGTAATGTGTAAGTTAAACTAACTTTTTATATCAAAGTTACAATATTTAAAAAAAGTTTCTAACTGCCACACTAAGTCCTAAATTGGCCACTAATAAGAGACTAATCTTTAATTTAGTGTAAGATATTGCAACAAGGAATCATTAAAGTAAGTTTTTAATAATTCTAAATTTGACAGTAAGTTACTACAAGTTAATTATAATTTTTTTACAGAACACTATTACCAAATTTAGGACCGATAGAAATTGTTGATATCTTAGAAGAAAGTTCTCAACATTTATATAGAGTGTATTTAAGTGTGTTAGCAAATACTTTGGCTGTTAAGAAAACTAAAAAGATTTCCGATTGTATACTTTACAAAGAAAAATATGCATCAGACATAGCTCTGTCTACATTAAGTGAAATAACTACAATATTAAATTCCATGGATGTAGCACTACATACTAATTTTAAGGTAAATAAACAATAATTTCATCTCACAAATATTTTTGTTAGTTCATATTAAAATTTACATTTCCATTTTTCTTCTTTTGGTGCTGTCTCCTAACGAAGGTTGGCAATCATTACAGCAACCTAAAGTACATTTCCATACTCATATACTAGCTATAACATGCGTGAAATTAAAAAAACACAAAAGAGTAACCTATGTGTTCTTCCAGCCTTTTTCTACATCTATGCAAAATCACATAGATATCTGTTCAGCGGTTAACGCCACAATCTAACATACATCCATCCATCTAGACTTTCATATTTATAATATTAGTTAGATTAGTATGATATCACTGAATAAAAATCAAATAAAAATGTTCCTAAACCATTAGCTTAGTTATTGACTATTGAGGGTTTTTGAGAAATGAGAAATCTGGCAGAGAGAAAGGTATATAAATTTATGTTATAATTGTCCTTTACAGGCACTAAACCAAGAGAGAGGTAAATCAAGGAGTAAGAAGATTCTCATTGGAGCTATGGGGAGTGCAGTTGTAGCTGTACTGACAGCATTATTTGTAAAATCATTAAAAGATATCAATTAACTGTATCAATGTGACACATGATTGCACAATTATTGTGTCAAGCACTTGGACATCTTTTGTATTACGTTTAAGACTGAATGTTGTTAATTTTTCTATATAAATACACTTAAACCAAAGAAATATAATTTGGTTAGATATAACTTTGTTTTTCTTGCAATTCTAGCGTTTGTCTTTGGTTTGAAGTAAAAATATTATTTCTTGATTCGATCAACTATAAGGAAGACTACATGAGGAAATTGTTACCTACATTATATTGAACTTGTTTGACATCAAAATGTCACAGTTTTTATATATAACAAGATTTTACAATAAACTCATATTTTATTGAAGAAAAATATAGAGTAAAATAGTATAAATAAGTATAGAGTTGTCGCTCTCTCGTGTCGGAGGCCAAGACCCACTTCGGGTCGCTGCGCCAACGCAGTAAGTAAATATAGGGTAAAAGTACATAGAGCATGAAGAATTTAAAGCTTAAAGTAAATGATTTTAAATAGTCTAAGTTATCAAATACTATTATGTAATTATGTCCCTTTTATGTAATTATTATTTCTGTGATCATAGTTTTGTGTCGATATTTTGTATCTGGTATGATCAATGCAAGTTACGATTTACTTGATATTCAAGTTTTAATTTATTATGACGACCAATATTTAGTACTGCTATACCTTAAAACATAATAATTAGAATTTGGGTCAAAGGAAACCGCCAATGAATGCGATCGAATGCAAACTATACAAAAAACAAAATGGATCGTTTCCCAGTTTTCATAAAGTAAATCCAACTGAAGCGACCCAATTGTTTCGACCTCACCAATTAAAAATGTAAGGTAAAATGTAAGGGCGCATACTTGTAGTAACAATGCCGTACGAGATAATTTTTAGTTTATTTATTACCAATTAGGAATTAAACCATGATGACAATGACATCAGAAATGACTGCACATGTATCTGACTTAAAAGTGAAGGTATTTACAAGTTTCAATGCAAAGATTGCTGACCTTCACCTAGACATCATACGGTTGTCACTAATGTGACCACGTTATTAATTTTTACTTTAACTATTCGTTCTGTTTGCGCTTTTATGCCTTCTTACATTTAGGCAGGACAGTCTCTCAGATTTTAATTTCGACATGGGGGCAATAGTTAACCTGTAAACGGCGAGCGGGCATTGTTT